ATGAAGTGTAGAAAGTGATCTCCTGCTATCGTCTGTCCAGCATTAACAACCCGATCTCCTGCAGGTGGCGGAGGTCGGGGAGTTCGAGGCGTCGAAGGAGAAGCTTCTGGATTACGCCCGGCGGTGCTACAAGACCATGGACGAGCAGACGCACGGCAAGGTCCAGACCATGAAGAAGACTCACAAGCTGCTGCCGATCTCCTACAGGTTCAGAAACTGACTGACGGGAGGGAGGAGTGAAGGCCGGCAGCAGGTTTCTACACTAACTCACTAAATATTTAGATTTTTATTTATTTCATGTTTTTTTTTTGCACTTTTGCAACATATTTGTTGTTGGCAGGTTTCTGTTTGTCTGTAGTTCAGTTGTATTGAATGTTGTGACTGAAGTTGTTTTTGCTTCACCTCAGGAGTTAAACTAATGCTATACTTTAACCAGAAGATCCAGTTTATTGTGAATTATAAAGTTATAATTTCTATTATAAAGCGCACTGACACATTTTACAACACACAAACACATACATTTTGCTCTTTGAGTTGAGTTGAGGCTCTGAAGTTTTACTTTTTGTTTTATATCAAAAGAGATATATTTATTTTCTTTATGTTTTATTTATTATTTTGTAAAATATGTACATTTGATATGTATTATTGAAAAAGAATATTTGTCATATATCTCATGCCTAAGTTTTTTTGTTTGTTTTTTGTATGGTTAATACAAGGTCTGAAATGTCACTTCATGCAACAGATTAAATTACTTTAAGTGTTCGATTGTTTTGGAGGTTTTTTTTTTTTTACAGTCGGGACAAAATTCATCAAGTGTGGAGGGTGTAAATAAATAATAAAAGTATGAATTCAACCTTTTCAGATGAGAATATGAGGAATAAAAGCATCAACTGGTTGCTGGCTCATGCCTGATGTACACTACACTCTATTTTAAGCGTTTATATGTTTTATAAGTCAACAATATGATCCAATGAAATGCAAATGAAGGACTCATTTATGATCAAGATGTGACTTTATAGCAGCTTACAGGCTGCAGCGCCGTCCAGTGGAAGAAAGAAGTGATGCACATTACAGTTACAGTGATAGTGTCAGATTGTAGCAAAGAACTCATATAGATTTTAAATATATTTATTCTGTTTATTTGTGCAAAGAGAATACACCAGGTCACATAATTTATATCTAGTTTGCTGTGTCTGTCCCTAAATGGGCTTTTTCACAAATAAAAAAAATCACATTTACGCAATAAAATGAGACTTTAAGACGGGCAGATCATTGATGACTACATGCCTGATCCTTCTGTAACTCATTAATGTCCATAGTGGAATTTTTTAACAGCCCACTTAAAGTGCAAATACACTGAAATGTTCAAATTGGTCCAAGTTGGAGGCGACAGCACAAGTTTTTCTTAACTTTTTACTCTTTTTAGTCATGAAGAGTAGCTTTTCTAGGAAACCACACCAAGAACAATCACACATAATATGGATTGTTACAGTACATTCAAAAATAAAACTGATGATCTGTTGTTTTCTTTTGGTCCAGTATTTCCAATGTGCAGACCTAAGACACCTTTTATAATGTATTCCTATGGGAGGAAATGAGAAACCCCTAATGACCAATAACCACTACAGATATTATACAGAAATGTCTGAATCTAAACTACAAGGAGGTATTCAGAACAACTTTAATTTCAATGTAATAACAACAACATAATACTAATTATAATAAACTTATAATATACAGGCCTTTTCAAAACAAAGTTACATGGACGAAACCGACTTCAAACAATAAAATAAAATCATACAATTAAAATAATAAGTGAGAATAATAAAGAAGCTGTTCTTCAACATACTGGACACATTTGTTTCTCATTAACGAGTTAAGAGCTGTTTTAACTTCTGTGTGTAAGAAGTTCCACATGTTGATCCTCTGACATGACACAGCAGGAAAGCATCTTTTATTAGAAATGTATCTTAAATAATTGTATTTTATTTACATACAGTTTATGGTTAAACCAATGTAGACTCTTTGATGCTTTGATGCTGCCCCCCCCCCCTTTGGTCCAGTTACAGGAAAGAGACATTTGGAATATTTAATATATTGAAACAGATAAAGCTGTCATTTGTAATCACTTCAAAAAACCTGATGACCTTAATAAAACAGACAATTTACTATCAGCTACTTAAAGAATAAAATTACGCTGCTTGATGAATTACAAAGCCTTTAATTCAGAGCTGCATGTAACCACAGAGGAGGGGGAGGAGAGGGAGGAGGGGTTCAACCTTTAAAGTCCGATCAATAACTGGCTGTTCCCATCAATCACAGTAACCTCCACCTGGCAGGTCGACTATAAAGACGTGAGCTTCATGAATCGTAATGAGGGTCGGTGGCTGCAGGTTCAAAACCAAACGAGTCAATTAATAAATGACTCATTATGTGTCGACGTGGGAATAATGACAGCGGCGGGAGGCATCGGGCCCTGGGGTCAAGGTCAGAGGTCACTGGAAGCTCGTTCCTGCGTCCATTCATTACAAATTCTGGTTTATTTACACACTAAAGTTCAAATAGAAATAGTTAATAATGTAAAACTCAAAGCAAATTAACCTTTTTTTCTGTCAGAACAAAACATATAAACTCTGATAAATGTTGGTAATTAATTCATTGTGAGCTAAAATGTAGACAGCTGGTTATTTATTATAGTGCTCTGTCCTTCTGACGATCCATAAACGTATTAAATTAGTAACGTGACCTTGAAAAAGAGCTGGTATTTAGATTTAATATGGTGATAAAAGCAGATCTTTGACTGCACTATTCCTCCTTCTCTTCAGCTCTGTCCCTCATGTTCAAGTTCATTATTCGTTTTTAATCCCACATAATCAAATGTTATATAAAGAGCTGTTTGTGCTGTAGACAGATGTGTTAAAGGTCCACTCACGAGCTTTTTCTGTAGCTTTCAACTACATCTCATCGACTTCAGCAGCAGAACCGACGTCACAATAAAACACATAATAATCACAAACACAATGAAATTGAGAATTGGAGCCACAGAACATCCCACTGGTGACAACTGTGGCTCGTTTAATGATTGTAAACCTTATTATTATTATTGGTAAATATCATATAATGATTATTTTGAGCTTAATTTGAGAAAAGTTTCAATATGAACTTGTTTATTAGCACCTTGAATGTAAGTTTTTATGTTGTTATTTTACTATTTGTTGTTGTTGTCTAAGCCTTTCTTAGACTTAGACTTCACTTTATTGATCCCTTTGAGATGACTCGCTCAAGGAAATTGAATTCCCAGCAGCCTAAAAAACACTTGTATAGAAAATAAAAGAGGTATAAAAAAATACAATGTAAGATAAACAATAAACTCTTAAATATAGAAAGTAGAGATAAGAATAAAAGTAAAATAAAATAAATGTAGAGAACTGTATAGAGGATAAATATAGATAAACATAGATAAATATAGATAAATATAGATAGGAGTACTATTTCAGTACAATATCAGAAGGCGAACAGGAGTCGACGTAAACAGTAGGAGCGTAAGGAGTAATAGCGCGGAGGTGCAAACATCAGCCACTAAATACTACTGGGGATTAAACATAGATAAAATCACGATTACAACATAGATAAATATAGGATACAATAAGAATCTACATATAGATATAACATATTAGATCACAACAGTACATACAATATCGCATAAACATAGAGTAGAACTACTTCCGATAAACAAAATCAGATCATATATTTAGATCAGAACATGTACGATTACGAAATATAGATAAACATTTAGATAAATATACTCAGGACGTGGTAATGGCATGTTGTATTATACAGGCGCTTATACAACTGACATTAGCCAGCAATTATCAGGTCTTCAAGTTTTCAAGCACTTATCTCGCCACAAAAACAACGGACGCAGTGTTCGTCGGCCGTGCTGGCTATTGACTGTCGAGTTTATTCTAGCATCGTCATATTTTATATTATCATTCTACCTCTTACCCCTATTTACCCCGGGAAGGTGAGAGCTTTCTTCTCTAATTAATCATCTTCTATAATGTAAACAATGTGGTTTTTCAGTTTGCCTGTCGACTGCTAATTTTATTACAGAATAGGAAATACAAACAAACAAAAACTGAAATAAAACACACACGTATTGCAAGCATTTAACTAAAATAAGAGCCTGAACTCAATTTCCCGACATGCCCCTTGCCACCAACAGAAAGGTCTGTACGCGAGAAACGGGGGGCGTTAACTAAAACTCAGCGTTTACCCTTTGACCTTTCGAAACTGTTCCAATCACAGCGGGGAGTTAGTCCGAAGGCGCATCACGAGCTGGCGTCTGACGGACAGTGCCTCAGCCAATGGAGCACGGCCAGCGGCCGCGCCGGCCCAGCCCAATCACAGGCGAGTGGCGACTCCCCTCCACAGGGCATTCGGAGGAGCAGCAGGTGTTCCTTGGTGGCCATCCTGTTTTGGGATGTGCGGGAATGATTGTTTAGCGGAGAAGAAATTGACATTTTTTAGTATATTTTTTTAGTGAAAACGCTTTAAACTGAACCGTGCGAAGATTTATTCGGACTGGTCAGAGCCAGAGGGTAAGAAACGGCAGCTCGGAAGAAATCCAGGGCTGATCACGAGCTGGAATTAAACCGCAGACTCAAAAAGTGATGTAATTTTATGGAGGGGCCTTTTCCTTTTTTTTTTTCTTGCCTCTTACTGTTCTCTTCTCTCACCTTCTCTCTTCTCTCCTCTCCTATCTTCTCTCTCTCTCTCTCTCTCTCCCTCCCCCTTCCTCCAGATTGTGTCTTTGCCCACTTAAATACTGCAGGCCTTATTCTTTAACTCTCTAACCTCTAACCTCTAACCCCAACCCCCCTTTTAACCCAACCTGTAGCCCGCCGTGGCTCATTACCCGCGGACGCTACTTCTTGGGCGCAGGGGTGTTTTATTGGTCTCACTGGGCAAAGTCGGGGAGCATCGGCCAGGGCTGCCGCCGCCGCCGCCGGCCGTATAGGCCGCGTTGATTTGTTCACCACACTCCGGGTTAACAAGTGTTCCTGCTGTCTTCCGGGTCCGAAGGCTCGTATCACCGCACGGTAGCTATTTGGTCTCTGGGAGGTCGGCGGTGGTTTCGTAGATTTTTGTTAAAATGTAAAGATAGACTTTGAAGGTGAAAGCTGTCTCCGTGTGCGTCCCAAACTCGCTTGGCAGGTTGCG